CAGGCGTCCCCAAGTCAGCCGCTGCTGAAACTGACCAGCGCTGACTACAGGAAGCCCGAGGCAGAGTTGCTCTGCCCCGGGGTTCCTGGAATCAGCCGCTGATCAGTTTCAGCAGCAGCTGACTTGGGGACGCTTGGAGTTCTTAAGTTGATTCTGTATGTAAGTCAGAACTGACGGTCAGTTTCAGCAGCGGCTGAATCTGGACGCCAGTTCCGACTTACATACAGATTCAACTTAAGAACAAACCTACAGTCCCTATCTTGTACGTAACCCGGGGACTGCCTGTAGTCATTTCACAATCAACACACTTATGGGTATTCTTCTCCAGGCTTTTTTGTAAAAGCCTGCCGATCTGAAGTTTCACTGATATGGTTAGAAATATTTGAGTAATTTTAAAATTATTCAAATGCAAAAGTCTCTCCAAATTTTATAGAAACCCTGCATGTTCATTTTAAATGTAAAGTCCTGCTGTCACCAATCTAAATAATTAATAAGTACACAAATCTCATGAGACCCTTTCCACATTTATTGCAGCAACTGGAGCGTTTGCTAATAAGAGAGCCCTACAATTATATGATGACTGCCCCAATAGCCAGGATAACAAGAGCAATCAGTATACAAATGATCCAAAACCTATTTCTTCACACCAACAGGATCCCACTTCTAAAGCTAGGATATAACATCAGTTACAAGGTAAGTTCTCATGGAGAATAAAAACAAGACTCTGTAGGAGGTGAAGAAAGCTGGGGAAGTGATCTATTATTTTTAGCATGTGGCGATAAATACAGACCCAGCATTTAGCCTGAAAGGTCAGACACTGGAAATAAATTTTCACCCACAGGCTACCACTGCTGTAGCCCCAATAGTTAAAGTAGCTGTTATGAAGGATTTGGGGATCTTGCCAGCAGCAAATCCAATAGCTGCTACCTTTTCCTATCCCTCCAAAGCCGTAGCAGAATTTGTTCTTACAGTGAAGTTTGAGTATTTGAGTTTTGAGTATTTTATACATTAAAAGACTTTTTCTCCACACTAAGCATTCCGCAGTGCTCAAAGCCATTCAGATGTTAGTACAGTTATATTTTTGTTGTGAGGCTTTTTTGTTTTTCAAGACTAAACCAAACTGCTTTAATGCTTTAGCTTTCAAGGTCAAACAAATACAAAGGAAATGCCAGGCTGTACCTTGTGAAGTCTGGAGGGACAGGAGTAGTGACAAAGGATGCCATAGGCTTCCGGTGAACCTGCTGAAACATCATCAGAATCTCCGAGCTTTTAGATATCAGCTCACTCTTACTGCATGACCGCAGCTGCAGAGAGGAAAGCAGATTAATTATATTGTAATTTAAGAAAACCCGCAGATTTTGCCTAAGTTTTTAATTGAAGATGTGTCAATACAAGAGGTAACATCTACTGCAGGGTCACAGAAAAAGATTAAAATACCGCTCTCCATAGTGACAGAGTTATGTTTGTTAGAACTTCCATTGAATGTATCTGTTTTCAAAGCTGGAAAAAGAAATGGTAGTGGCAATGAATTGCCATACTTGTTCCCATAACAGTTTTTACAAGAAATTAAATAAAATTAAGTCAGTATTCTCTCTACTTTCTCCCAGAGAACTCACACGCTTTTCATGGCTCTTGAATCCTTATGTGAGAATTATAGTGCTGTAGTATTTTAACAATGTTAACAGGTTTTAAAAATGTAATTAGCACTATATGACTATGCACTTATATGACTTTTCAATATAAAGTGTATAAGTATCTGTACTAGATGCAGATATGTTTGTTTTATCATGTTACCACCCCAGCAAAGTACTATAGCAGGTCTTTGGTAAATATTGGGATTATGTTCCTGAAAAGGGCAACAGACACAGCTCCCATAAAAATGGGGGCCCCATAAAAATGTGTGCTGTACACTCTCCCACCCTGCCCAGGGTTTGCCACTCTCTGCTTCCCTGATGGTACTGCCAAGGAGCAGGGCATTGTTCTGGTCCACCTGGCACTCTAGCTGGGAGATTGGGAGGGAGAGGGGGCCCTCACCCCAGTCTACTTGGCACTCCAGCCAGAGGAGTGGGGAAGGAGAGTGGGGCTCACCCTGATTCACCTGGTGCTCTGGCTGGAGAGCACTCCTGCTGGGGTACAGGGGCTTGCCCCACTCTGCCCACAGTGCACTCTAGCTAAGGAACGGTGTTTGAGTACAGTGACTGGCACTCCAGTCAGGGAGTAGGGATCAGGGGTGGAGAAGCTCCACAGCAAGCAGAGTGAAGTAAGCCTCCAACCTTGCTCAGTGACTAGAGCACCAGGTAGGGCTGTGGGGCAAACAGTGGGGCAGCAGCTGACAGGTGGGCCTGGATGTTAAGTAGTTGGGCCATAGTATCTCTGTCACTCATCAGTAGGGGGAACATGTTCTGATTAACGTGAGTCCTGATCCAGATATCCATCAGCTGCAAACAATAGGTATGTGAAACAATAGATAAAGAAGACACTTATACCAGGGACCCCTGTATACCAGATGTGACCATTGATATTATGTAATACGTAGGTGAAACTTTACTAGCCTTTGACATTATTAAGTTTCATATATTTCATAACCCAGCCAGAGAAGTAACTGCGCATTAAGGAAGCGTCTTTTACACTTTCCTTCTTTTAGTTATTCTGTGGCACTCTCATTGTTAAATATAGCCGTATATTCATTTTTCATTCAAATCAAAATGTTTTAAGCCAATATTCAAATCAACTAATCAAAAAGCCCCATTATCTCACAAAAGAATAAATCGGGAGTATAAATGTAACCTTCCTTCTTTCAATCCAGCACACAATGCCAAAAGGGTTTAAATGTGTAATAAATTGTACCTTTTCAACACTAGAAGCCACAAATAATAACAAACACTTCTGAACAAAAGAAGATAGGAAAGAATCTAATTGTGTCTTTTGAACAACTGGTGACAAACATTTTAAATAGGTAAATAGCTGCAAAAATAGCTTCCAACATTTTAACTGTGGGATGGTTTGTGGGATTTTTTTAATCACCTGATGTTCTACTTCCTGCAGCAGGGACTCCAAAAGTTCAGTTTCTTGGGTGAGTGATGTCTTTTGACCTGTTTAAAAGAAATGAGATCCAGAGATCATGTTTTGTGGTGCTGCTGTTTTTAAGAAATGAACCTCCCTTCTGGAGACTGCTCTAAATCTCAGGTAAAGGATTTCTAAATATATCAAGGTTGATGGAGAACACATTTTAAAGAAAGCCTATCTTGTTAATTAGAGCTGCAGTGAATGATTCACTTGAGGTTAAAGACATTAATGAAACATTCTTGGTGTCCCAGAAATGACAGAGGCTTTTGAAAAAAGAGCATATTTAGATTTCATTGAACTTATTCTGATCCAATCAAACTTTCTTTTATAACATCTCAAATCTAATTTAAAAATCACTTTTATAGACCTTACACCTTTTAATGAAAAAATAATTCAAAACTGATATTTAAATATAAAGTTTCTCTATTAAAACTACCATTAAAGCTGTGACAAGACAAAGAAGAAAGAAAAGTCAACTCTGATTTTAAGTCTATCACTGGATTTGCTTTTTCTCAATCACACATTAATTAATTCTTGTAAAGGAATCTGAGGTCCTTGAAGTAAAGGAGCTATATAAGTGCAAAGTATTATTCTGTGTTAACCAAATAAAGAGGAAATTCTTAAATGGTTTAATGACTGACCTTCAATCACTGAACAAATTTGGTGACTGATTACAATACTCAACATGATATGCTTAAGTGCACTCATCGCAGATCCTAACTTAGAAATACAGGTTGAAACTCTCTTAACTGGGATTCTCTGGACCAGCAACATCCATAGTTTGGCACGGATGTTGCAGGACCAGAGAGTCCCGATGGAGGGCCAGCAGCAAGGATCCCTGTGGGGCCAGCAGGGCAGTGGGGCCGCTCAGCGCTTGGCAGCGGGGTTGGGAGTTGTGGTAGCTCAGTGGGGCAGGGAATCGCAGCAAGTGGCTGCCCACCGGGTCTTGGATCTCCCTGGTGGAGCTGGCTGGCAGGTCCCGGAGCCATAGCAGTGATGGCTGCCCAGCAGGATCAGGAGGGCAGCAGGAGGTGGGAAGCCGGCTGGGAGGCCAGCGGCCAGGCTGGGGGGCTGGTGACAAAGGGTCCAGAAATGACCTCCCCTGGTCTGGCAAAATCTCTTGTCTGGGACTGGTCAGGTCCCAAAGGTGCCAGATCAGGGAGGTCCAACCTGTAATTTAATTAGAAGAATGTAAGAGGATATTTTTACTAAAAACTGATTCTGCTAAAAATCTAGATATGATTACATGTCTAATACCTAACAGTCTCTTTATACAATATACAAAATATGGTAGCTTGGGAAAAATGTATTTACATACTTGATATACAGTGTATAAGGGTTCTGATCTTCTATTTTCTTCTGAACAAAACAATTTCAAATATTAAGAATAAATATTCAACATAGTTGGTCTTAGAGACAGACAGTCCCTATTTGCCTAAGTTTCCAGTTATAGATTTAGTTTTGCATATTGCATGACTACATTCCTAAATAATCTGTTCTCATCTCCCTGATATCCAAAGAGACTGATACTCCAGTTTAGGATAATTATATTTAGCTCTTACACAGTGGCTACAATGGAATGCAAGTATGAATGGAGAACTTAAGAGTCAATTGTAGAGATTGTTTTCCATTAGGGACAAAATATTATATTTAAAATACAGGATTTATTAAAAATATTATTTACAGAAAAAAACCAAAGATGCTTTGTAAGATGCTTTGCAAATAAGTGGAGTCTTACGTCCATCTCTTTCATTCTCTCTTTTAAGAAGTGTTATATAGAAGCATCTGTTCCCCTTCCTATACCCTACATGCTTCTCATTTGTAAAAAGGCTAAATAGAAGGAAAGGTTAAGTGGCTGGACCAAAGTCAGTCAAGAACAAAACTTAGAAGTTCTGATTCCTTCCTGATACTCTTGCTCTCAATATTGGACAATTTATTTATCCATCTGAAATGCTACTCAGCAGAAATATTCCATTGAGAAATAATACTTTTAAAGACTGACAAATTACAGTAATCAGGGAATACTTGAAACTTAAAAGATTTTAAGTGTTGTACAATCATTAAACTCTAGCAAAGTGTTACACATAATCAGAGTTACCTTAAAGTACCTTTTTATGGACACAAAACAGTTACATCTAACGATATAAATTATATCACAATAACCATGCAATTAACTAATGGCACTACTGTACAGGCAGTCCCCGGGTTACGTATAAGATAGGGACTGTAGGTTTGTTCTTAAGTTGAATTTGTATGTAAGTCGGAACTGGCGTCCAGATTCAGCTGCTGCTGAAACTGACCAGCGGCTGACTACAGGAAGCCCCAGGCAGAGTTGCTCTGCCCTGGGCTTCCTG